GAATTCCACGGATTTGCCATTTGTTTGGGTAATGAACTCGATTGAGACAGACTTAATGAATTTGGATGAAGTGATGGCAGTGGCGATGAGGATAACGGGCCGTGACTTAAGTTCCAGAAATTATCGGCCATTCCGTTGACGGCACCGATCGGATGCATTGCTGGCGAACTCATTGGCGATTGTAATAGCGCTGAAGGATTCAAATACAAGAACTCATTGTTTCGGTTGATATTTGGCTCGAAACTAGTGTTAAAGTTTAGGCTCTGATTGGGAGTCGAACCGTTCAGATAGACGGGCGGACTCTCCCGACCCATCGCTTTCTCTCTTTTACGCCATTTGGCTCTAAATTCAGTAATTTATTTATTTATTAACATTTATTTTGACATAAATATAAACCATTTAAACATACCTCCTATTCTGAAACCAAACCTATTTATAAAGAAAACAATTATAAAATATTTATTAGTTTTAAGCTTTAAAATTTATTTTTCAAAATTAATTCTTGAAATTAGAAAACAAAATATAGATCTAATCAAAAGACTATAAATTGAATTGAAATAATTCACAATAAATGTGATTTTACAATACCATAGAGAGAATAAGTATACTGTGCAGTATATACTGTATAGCACAAGTGAATGCTCTGATATAATAAAAAGATTAAACGTTTAATTTGTTTTGTTTTTTGATAAAGTTTTGATTATATAGTATTAAGAATTTTGTATTAAGAATTTTAAAAGAATTTCAAACAAAATATTATGCAAAGAATACCAATTTATATAATACTCATAAAATAATAAGAAATTATAAATTCTTTATATAATAATTGACTATAAAAGATTAATAATTTATTATTTTACTAATTTAATGAACTTAAATAAATTGAATTTGCAATGAGAAAATAATTGAATATCAACATGAAATCTTTTAATTTAAGTAAAATTTTAAAATCAAATATAATCAAAATTTGGTAAACATATAATTTGAACATTAGGAGTCCAAATGAGATATAAATATTTTCATTTGATTAGTAAATTAATTAATAAAACATAAGTCGATTACTATAGTATTTATTAATTATATTAAAGCGCATTATTTTGTATTTTAATTAATTAAATGAAAATAGTTATGTAAAACAAAGTCAAAGTATTAATAGTAAAACCTTTTAAAAATAATTAGAGATTAATAACTGGGTTTATCTCCAAAGACGAGTTTGATTTGAGTAAAAGTAAGAAATTATTGAATCATTTGCTGATGTTTTTGAGAAACAAAACAAAATGAGATATAATATGAAGAAATAAATCGAGTCTTTAGAGAGAAATCTATTGAATACTATGATAGCATAGGATTAAAAGATTGCAAAATGACTCACTTAGCCGTACAGTCGACGGAATCACCATTTTTACTACATATTAGGCATTACTATATCTCAAAGAGGCTTAAAAATCGCATCACTAATTGGCAAAGCAATAGATCTCTGCATTCACTTGATTTGCAATGTTTTATACATTATATTAGAAAAACTTTATTTTATATTCTTTTACTAAATATAGTGAAACTAACGAATAAATTATGTTTAAGTCTTCTACTCAAACCGAGTAAATATTTTCACTAAATTTATATTTTCAAAAATTGCATAAATACTTAAATTCAAAAATAAAGCAAAAACCTAATGCTTTCTAATGATTTATTTGATTATATTTTATAACATGAAATAAATAATTGTAACAAAACAAGTAGAATACAGAGTCGTAAGTAGAAACAGGAGCTGTCAGTATAATCATGTTGTATACTGTATGTCGTGTTATATAATGTCAAACAATTCCCATACAACTCATTGAAATAAATAATTGTAACAAAACAAGTAGAATACAGAGTCGTAAGTAGAAACAGGAGCTGTCAGTATAATCATGTTGTATACTGTATGTCGTGTTATATAATGTCAAACAATTCCCATACAACTCAGAATAGACTCAAATTTTCTTATTTAATAATTTGAGTTAAGAATCATCTTGGAAAATATTTAAAATGTATTTCTTATTTCACAAATGAAACTAAACTGTTATATAAATTGTATTAAGAATTTTGTTAAAATTTTTTATAAATTTAATAAACACAACATAAAATTTGATTTGACAAAAGAGACTAAAAATATGAAAACTATTGCAAACCTGAACGCGTGCTTCACTCAAGTCTAGCCTTAGAGCTAACTCTTCTCGTGTGAACACATCTGGATATTGAGTCTGAATAATGAAATCAATTAAAGAAATTGTTTGAAAATATTTCAATTGAATACTTTATCGAAAGCTCTTTCCAATTGATGTAATTGATAAGTAGTGAAAGTGGTCCTGCTCCTTCTTATTTTGCGAGGTCTCTCCATATCATTACATTTGTCGATGTCTTCGATCTCATCTTCATTGGCTTCTGAAGTCGAGTCGTTTCCCTTATCTCTTTCCTTATCACTTAAGTAGTACTCATTTTCTGGTCAAATAAAAAGCCAAATAAACTTATATTAGATTATATGTCTAAACGATAGTTTAAATTCTTATAAATTCTATAAATTGATAACTAATTGAATATAAGAAGAATTGTCTTTAGATTTATCAATAGATAAGAAGTTTTGTGTAATTCAATGATAACTTACTTTGTTTTGAGTCACTTTTGTCGAGTTCTTGGAATGGGTTGGTTGTCATGTCATGAATGGGATGACTACTCCTCACATGCTTTCCATTATTGAGGAGCTGTTCGATGCAGAAGACCGAAGACCGGGATGAGATGGGATGAGCGCTCTTCAGCGAGAAGTCGTCGTCTGTGTTACACAACACTTGCTTTTTGAGCGATGCGTTTGAGTTAATTGTAGTTATATTACGATTAATGATATCATTAGACTCCACACTGGGAGACATCATTGCTTTGTATGAATGGATTCAAATGAGACGAGTGGCCAGTTTTCAATGTTCAGAGTCTATTCAAAACTGAAAAGTGTATAACACTGTGATTATATAGAATTGCTTGATTCTTATGGTGAAACTTGTTGTGTTGAATGGTTGCAACTTTAAAGCAATGGAATAAGAGTTGCTTTTTATTATAGTTTTTTCATCAAAAGTTGTTGATGTGATGGCAATGAGTTATAGTTATATTTGATATAAAGTGAATATAAAAGGCACAGACAGTGAGTGAAGAATTGGTTGTTTGGTTGTCAACGTAAACATTTGTAAACTGCGAAAAAGTTATCATCATTTGATTTATTCAGAATAAGTGCTGTCTTTCACTCAGTATTGATCTGCAAATTCTTCTTAAGCGTTACATTCATTGAGTTTAGATGAGAAAAACTTTTCAATTTATTTGCTAGAAATTCATATATAAATCACATTCACTCAACAATTCGTATGCATTTTCAGTAGGTTTTGCGCAAAAATCATAAAATCGGGTTTACGTCTAACAGAGAGTGACAGTTCTTCAACTCCTCTCAACCAATCCAATCATACATCCAGTTATACATCCAGTCATTCATCCAGTCATTCACTATGCTCTATGTGTTTGTATGTATGCATAACAACATTACACAATGGACTAAATATCCCGTTAACACAATTAGCTCCTAATATGACGACAAATAGCACTTCTGGGAAGAACTGCACAATATTTTAATGAAATGTGTCTCAACTCACAATCCATACCAATGATTGGCTCTCTTGTCTACGCCTACAGTAGCTCTCGGTTTGTCTTCGGCTTACAATCGATACACTCTTTCATCTCAACTCCAGTTTCACTTATTTGCAGCTTTGAGTCGTTTTTCTTATTTGAACCCAAAACACACCAAACATTACTCCACCGGCACTACACTTAATACCGCTTTAAACACACTTTTAGTCTTATCTCATAATCACTTAAAATACATATTTTTAATAAATGTGCACAACTTTCAAAAGAAAATTTACACCAATTTGTGTTTGTTTTATATAATAAATACTCAAAACTATAGCTTAGTCTTTACTTAAAATATTGAATAACAAGAATATTGAAATTTTAAAGTTAAGTTTAAATTCTTAAAATAAACAAATGTATTAAAAACAGTTGAAAAATCTTTAATAGTAAAACATGCTTGTAGTATTTATTCTGTAATTAGTTTAATTTTAAATCCAAAAAGTAAAAGTATAAAAATCTTAATGATCAAATCATATACAAAGAATTTAATCTAATATAACAATTTTTTAACAAATAATTTAATTATTGCCATTAAAGTGCATAAAAATCTAATGTAAAAGCCTCCACTCCAATATAAAAGCTAAAAGTTTGAAATATTAGCAACAAGGCAAAAAGTCTTTTAATTGTAAGATTTAATAATTTAATAATGCACACAACTTTTAGCATTAATATTTAAATAATTTGACATAAAAAAATAATATTTTTAAAAATAAGATATATAATATTGAGGTTTAAGATTTAATAAATATCTTTAAATCATCACTAAATCTAAAGAGTTATTTTATATCATATTTAATAAGATATATAATTTATAATGGAATAAAATTCAAAATTAAACATACTTGTATATTACAAATATTGAATATTTTAAAATAAAATTAAATGGCGTAAATATAAATTTTAAAAACATTCATAAAATTAATAGAAAGAAATTATATTTTAACAAAGTAAACTAAACTAATTTTAAAACTAAAGCTAGGGCACACTAATTGATAAATATATATTTTCAATATAAATAATAAAAGTAAAATCTGGAATTATTATTATGAGTTAATCAGGATTTGCTTTTAAAGTATAATTAAATACTAATATAAGAGTTTTTAAAATGAATTTAACGGTGATTTATATGATTGAGTAAAAGTGTAGTGAATGAAGTGATTACTGATTAGTAAATGTTTTGGCAATTTTCCCACATTTCTCTCAGGTATATATGGTACAAATGGTTTATCACTAAATTTTAAGAAGTATTCGGTCCCTTTTAAACCGCTGAATAGTCTATTAGCCTTAAAAGTACTAATTATTCGCTATATTGAGTCCACACAAGTCAATACAATACCATTTGAATGGTTGCCATTGAATAGAGATTTGTTGTGCGTTAAGGGATTCCATTATTATGGGTGCAGTTGTTGTTATCTCTGTTTATCTTTGCATATAATACTAAATTCAGTTTGCATTTGATGTATGAAAATGATTAGCAAATAAATAGCCAAATAGAAATAGAGTTACAATTGCGAGGCAGATGTCCCATGAATGGCATAAAAAGTTACTGAATACATACTGAAGGATACTGTATGAGAATACGGAATATACAGTACAGTACAGTATATGGTTTACATTATACAGAATACAGAATAAATGCATAGTATATGGCATAGTACTGGTCAAAGCAGGTGTAGCCAACACTCACTACACTCTACTCTATTTTCTATACTACATAACCAATGTATTCACTACTAAATACTCTACTCATATTCACTGTCCAACAGTTTTACGAATAAAAAGTAACTTATTTTTCACTTCAATATACAGTATTGAAATTCTTTATCTCAAAATTGCTTGTTTTGAATGACGTTCAAAAAACTGGGATTATTTGGTTTAGAGATTATCGCCATTTCAATGACGAGTTTCGGTTGTATTCAATGAAACAAATTAAAGGATTTCGGGTCACAATAATATTACAGCTTTTTGTGACCTCAAAAATGAAGTTATTTTGCTCCCGGTTCGCATGCTGTGCCTTTTAAATAAGCTCAAGTACTGTCACTACTGTTTATCAATGGGACAGCACTCGACTCGACTACTATTCAATAAAATCATATTTAAGAGAAGTAATGAATAAAACAAATCATAAAACTCTATATATTGTAATTGTAATTGTAGTCATTCTATCATCAGTTTATTTCACATACAAAATATTAAATAGACTATATTTGCTTGCTTTCATTTTTTATCAATGAATACATCAATAATTATACTTTTATATACATAATTTTATTAACTTAAAATTTAAACTAATAGGTTTTTTTGAGACTGCTTTAAAAAACATGGTTTAGAAATATATGAACACTTTGTCAAAATGAAATCCCAATAATTTGTAAATATAAAACATTTACTCTATTTATATGATGTAGTATTAAATTTGATAGATACTGTAGTGTTAATAAATTGAAAAATAGACACTTTATCTTTATTTGTGTTGGAATTACTTATGAATTGACATTAAAATAAAAGTGAATTAAATTCTGGGTCTTTCACCAAGACGGGGAGAAAAAGTTTAATTTAGTTGGGCTTAAGTTAAGAGAGTGGAAGTGGAGTGCGGGCTCTTGACTGTGTGCTAATGCAATATATATATGCATTTGTGCTATAATATGACAATCAATGGGATGGTCTGGCAGATAGAGCTTCGGCTTAGTTTAGCCACAATCTCGGCTTCGGTGGAGGCGTCCTTATTTGAATGGTACTGGTGCTCATGCTATAGTATATTTGATGGCCTAAAGGCACTCATAGTCATAGCACTCATTGCTTTCCATTCATATTATCTTTATTTCCTATAATATGTGAGAAACCACTGAAATTATGTTTACCGATGCTCTCGTAAAGAGCTGTATTAAAGTGCAATTTTTGCTTATCTAACATCGCTTAAAGCTTTATGAACTATACAAGTGTTGCACACATCCAGCACATCCATGTCGGCACAACCATTGGCTCAATCATGCATTCAATTTAGGATTCACTCAACACTTGCCTTTCATTGCATTTATTGATTTATTTATTACTTTTCATTACTTCGAGTTATTCGAGTGTATAAAGAGATTAAAGCTTTATATGAGATCTCAAATGTTTATTATATAAACTCATCGAATATAAAGATATAACGAATATATTATTGAATGAATTTTGCCGATTATGGCGATCAATGCATTTTCACTCACTTTTTAAAGCAAAAGTTAAACTCATTTTTGCGATTTTGTCGCCGTTTATGACATCTGACAGAAGCAGACAAATGTGTTTTGAAATGCTTTGTGTGATTGCGTTACGAAAGCATTGCTATCGTTATTACATAAGTTGTCTAATAATGAGATAAATCCAAAGATTGTCTTTTGTTCCATTGGATCCATTCATGCACTCAATCATCACAACCACTGCCAGCAAAGCAATTATATTTGTCTTTACAAACCTCTAACCCATACTTCTCTGGAATGAGATTCAAGAAATCTAATTACTCTCTTCACCATCAGTTTGTCTCACTCTATACTCTCTCTATACTCTCTCTATACTCTCAATCCCTGAGCGATTGGATAAAACTACCGCTAATGAGTGCATCAGTTATACTGCACACACACTTACCTATTAAATAGTACTGTATTCAATTGAATCGAAAATAATATAAAACCTTATTTTATTGAATAATAAAAGCAAAACTTTTTTAATTTGTCTCATAGGGTGTAATTACAGTGAAATCTAAACATACAAAACATTTTACTGTTTACCTAATGCTATGAAAAGAAGAGAAATTAGAAAACTTTAATTCAGATTTAATGAACCAATGCTTTCATCCCATATATAATGAGTCTATTTATTAAAAAAGAGTATAAAATGCATGTAATTATGTAATGAATAAATGTTTAGTTAATTAAGACCTAAGAGGGAGACAATCGATAGGCGTAATCAAAAACTTGCAAAATCGCTATTAATGACGACAATAGGCCTAAAAAGCCAATGGTTTGCGCCGACAGTCTTGTGTGTCCTAATGATGTCATTGGTATCCAAATATCGCAAAAATTCTTCAGTGTATCGATGCATACGTTCTTATGTTTGATAATCCATTCAATTATCTGTAAGTATTGGTCTTGAGTTGGGTTTAAAATATTGGGTGGAATCACATCAATGCGAGACGAGTGCCCGAAGTAATGCTTTTGGGAGTTGACATAATTGTTGGCTTTCAGTATATTGCTTATCTCATACACATCTCGGACCAGATTCATTGCTATCGAATACAACCAAAACTTATTACTCCATTCAGACCATTGCTTTGAGTGCACGGATGGGAAGAGTCCGGTACTACTCAACCATAGCATGTGATCGCACAACAGGTATAGTGAAGAGGCGATGCGGGACAGTGTGAGCGTCACTCTCAGTGTCGGGTCCGGCAAATGCATCGTTTGCATCGATGAGTGCAATACATCCACACATCGGCCCAGTCTTAGCACTAGAAGTCATCATTTATACATTACTATTGATATACATGTATTATAATATACAACTAATTTTAATTTTATAGCTTTTTTATCAATTTCATTGTAATAATAGCTTATACTGTATAATATCTATAATAATTAATAATACTTAGAACATAGTATTACATAACCAAGATAATTATATTGTCACAAATTGAATTAATTCCTTAATTATCTGTTATAAAGTATAGGGATAACAGTGGATACATTAAACGGCATCCACTGTATTAAAACTTATTTCAAATAAATATATTTTCAACTTATCAATTTTACTTACGATTATCAATAATTTTTGTCATTCAAATAATTTCTATAATTGCAAATACAGTACAAGAATCATCTAAAATGTTTTATACCTATTTTTGAAAAATTATAAAGATTGTCATCAATTCAACAATTTATATCAAATAATTTTATCAATTTTATCAATATCAAGTAATTAATTATTTGTACTGTATACAAATAAAATTAAATTTGTGATAAAATTATATTAGTGTCCAAAATAAACACTAAACAAATAAATTATTCTTATATAAACAATCAATATTTGAAGTCTAATGCAAACATATAAAGCATTTCCAATCAAATTACAGTTATATCAAAATTAAATAAATTCTAAAATATAAGTAACTTGGTTTCAATTTTCACAACTAACATAGTTTGAGATTTGTAATTAAAATGTAAAAGAATGTCAAGTTAAATATAACAATTTTTGTAATAAGATAGTCATACCCCAATTAAATTATTAAATTAACTAGGTGTAATATAATAGTAATTTGGGGGGTCGTTGAGCATAAAGTGTTAGACTATCGATAATACTATGTAACATAGTCTATGTTGTAATAAAATTTTTGTAAAATGTCCTTGTATATAAACAGAACAGAATACAGTATTTTCATAATCAATTGCAACATGGTAAATGACGATTGCAATAGAATTAACGAATGCAATCAGTAGTTATAAAATAAAATTACCATAATAGAGTCAGTCAGTCAATGACTCATTTACCTAAAATGTATCTAACTACATTAGTCAAATTATTATAGTAGTAATGGTATCGAAATTGATTATAATTGATCTGGTAGAATATAGCAAGTATTGTTTGACATAATCAGTGTTAATTGTGGTCACATACAATTCACTACATGTACTAGTCTACCAATCAATTGTATCTATAATCTTATATCATATACAGTATATTCCTATAAATAATACACTAACAATACACCAAATATGAATACAGTAGGGCTAATGAACATTGCTCAAACAAATATCCTTATAGGTAATCATTGGTTATCATTGATTACTAATCAATGACAATATAAATACTGATAGAAAGTGACAAACATTTTCGCGATGAACTCAATCGCGTTTCCAAGTCTTGTATTTTGTAAATCAAATCGTTATTTGGTTTGTATTTCTTCATTATAGACCACACCATACGTTAATATAAATACTGATAGAAAGTGACAAACATTTTCGCGATGAACTCAATCGCGTTTCCAAGTCTTGTATTTTGTAAATCAAATCGTTATTTGGTTTGTATTTCTTCATTATAGACCACACCATACGTGAAGTGAATTGACATAAACTGCATTCAAATGAATGACATAATCATTAAAATACAATTCAATGCAATCAAATGCAATGCAATATTAATACCGAAACAGTTTGTCTCTGCCTGTGGTCTGGGCATTGAATCTCACCATTGATTCCATGCTATAAGACATTGCACTCAATCACCACAACTATAATCACAACTATAATCACAACTATAATCACAACTAATGATCACTAAATGACTGACACTTCAATGCTATTACAATGACTGCAATATCAATATATTCACGATTTAATGGCTCTCTTACTGTATTGTTACCCAAAATAATGTCATTCACGTAAAAACCCAATCATTTGGTAATCTATTGTCTATTAAGTTATTAATTATATAACAATTTTAATTCAACAAAATAATCACAATTAAGCAGATATTGAGTAAGATTTGAGTGATAACTGAATGATCAACACATAGCCAGCAAATTGAGTGGACAGTGACTGACAACTTATGCACTGTATGTTTGGCACAATGTGTGAGTGTATTGTCGGCCATCGTATGCAAACACATGTGAAATACATGTGATTTCTGTGAACATTGAAAATATAAATTGTTGTCAATTATTAATATTACTGTTAATAGCGGCTGTTGACTGTGATTACACCACCAATTGAATACCCTGGTCACTTGTTTGTGATAATGAAGTTGTCCTACCGGTTGGGACAGGTGTTGGGGTCGGTGTACAGCTCGGGGACCCTGGAGTTCGTGCCGTCCGGTGACCGACTGGTGAGTCCGGTGGGCAATAAGCTGGTGATGTATGACCTGAAGAGTGGTAAGAGTGAGGCCCTGGCCGTGGAGGTCGAGTACAATGTGATGAACGTGTGTTTGAGTCCAAACGGATCCCTGTTGTTGGTGTCCACACAAAACACTCAAATCTATTTGATATCATTAATGAGTGGATCTGTTTTGCAACGAAAGGACTTCAAACGGATCGGACAAACCATTAATGACCTGAAGTTCAGTCCCGACGGCAAGTATTACGCGGTTTGCGGTTCACAACAAGTGGTCGTCTATTTGTCGCCCGGAGTTGTCCTCAAAGGTTGCGGACGACAGCTCTCGGCCTTCAAGACTCACAAAATCATTAAATCGTCTTTCGATGAGACCTGTTGTCTGTCGTGGAGTTCAGACTCTAAGCTATTGCTAATCGGAAGCAAAGACTACATCATAAGAGTGTATCCAATCGACCGCCGCATCCAGAATATGGGCCAATCGGTGACACTATCGGGACATACGGACCAAATCGTGTCCGCATTCTTCTCGAACAGCTCTCCCAATGAACTGAGTATTTATAGCATCAGTAGAAACGGACAGTTGTTTGTTTGGGACTCCAATTACTCGAGTCTCGAAGAGTTCTCGACACCAAACGAAGACAAACAATTGTTGAGATATTCAAAAGAAAAGAGTCATTACTTGAACACCGATTTGCAGAAGACTTACTCAACACTACGGCTCACGGCTTCCCAATACAACCCGAAACTCAAACTATTGGTCGTCGGCTTCAGTAACGGCTCATTCATGTTGTATGAGATGCCGGACATCACTCTTATTCATTCCCTCCAACTCTCGAATAACGGTTCCATAAGTAGTATTGCTGTCAACCCTTCAGGTGAATGGATAGCAATTGGTTCGGCAATCAATTCGGGCAACAAATATGACATCGAGAATGAGCTGAACTCCGAGTCCCAACTATTAGTGTGGGAGTGGGAGAGCGAGTCATTCATATTGAAACAGAGCGGCTATTCTACTGGTGTCACCAATTTGTGCCAAAGTATTGCATACTCTCCTGACGCCACTATACTGGCCAGCGGTGGAACCGATGGCAAAGTGAAGATTTGGAACACATTCAGCGGATTTTGTATTTCCACATTCAATGAACATAAGGGACCCGTCACTGCTCTAGAGTTCGTTCCCGGAAAGAATGGCAAAGTCTTGATCTCAGCCTCACTCGATGGTTGTGTTAAAGCTTTCGATCTGAACCGTTACCGCAATTTCCGGACCCTAACGGCGCCCTCGGAGTCAAAGCCCGCACAGTTCATAAGCCTCGCCGTCGACCAATTGGGCGGAGATTTTATTGCCTGCGGCTCACAGAATATGTTTGAGATATTCTTGTGGTCACTACAGACCGGAAGATTGCTGGAGAGTCTTTCAGGTCTGCATAGAATTTTATATTTTAATTACTTGTGTTTAAAAATAATTTTTTTTGTACTTTCAATATAAAGGACACGAATCTCCAGTTTCTGGTCTAAAGTTTTCTCCGACATCTAACACATTAGTCTCGTGTTCTTGGGATCAAACGATCCGTATATGGGGTTTGTTTGAAGGGTCCAAATGTACGCGAGAAGTGGTTCGTTTGGGAAGCGATGCTCTGGCCATTGCGTTCAGAGGTGATGGACAGCAGATCGCAGTGTCCACTCTAAGCGGTGACATTTGTTTCTTTGATCCCCAAACCGGTCAACAAATGGGTGTTGGCATCGAAGGGCGCAATGATTTGGGAACCGCTCACTACGAACGCGAACTCGTCTCCGATAAGAATAAATACTTCTCGACTCTTCAGTATTCAGTGGACGGAACGTATATTATGGGCGCCGGGAAGTCGAAACACATTTGCATCTATCATGTCATGGAGAAAATGTTGGTTAAGAAGTTTACCATCACATGGAATCTGTCAATGGATGGACTCTACGATTATATCAGTTCCAGAAAATTGTCAGAATTTGGATTTAATTTATCGCTCATCAAAGACAGGGATCAGGAGTCCAGTTATGCCTCCATATCTCTGCCCGGAGTCGCCAAAAGTGATTTTAGTGACCGCTCTGTGAACCCAATAATAGCTGTGTTTGACATAAAATTCTCGCCAACGATGAGGACCTTTGCGTTCGCGTCCACCGAAGGGATTATGATCTATACGTTAGACAAATGCAATGCTTTCGATCCCTTCCAACTCGAACAACACATAACTCCTAATTCTTGTCGACTATTACTCGATGCCAACCAATTCTGTGAGGCTTTAATGCAAGCCTTGAAACTCAATGACCAGAAATTGACTGAAGAAGTGATCGAAAGGGTTCCCATCGAAGAGATACCATTTATTTGCTTAACACTTGCCGACAATTATGTGGAAAAGTGTTTGAAATCTATAGCTATAGGCCTGCAGTCGACAAAACACATTGAATTCTATCTGAAATGGTGTCAAACGCTTCTCTCCCAAAACGGAACTACTCTTAAGACTAATAGTAGTGTCGAAGTAATGGCTCCGACTTTACGACTCCTTCAGCACAACCTGACCACACATTTCGACGGTCTGTCCAAAGTGTGTGAACACAACAAATATATGTTGCGATTCATTCAAGTCTTGTCCACACATAACACCTCAACGGATCAACCCATGGATCACAACCACAGCGAAGACAATGAGGACAACGAAGACGAAGAACCTAATGACAGCCAATCGGACTCGGATTCGCAATAATCTAATGCTTCAGTTTTGCGAGCGTTTTGCCATTTATTTCTCAAATGTATTCAAAACACATTTTATTTGATAATAAAAGTTATAAAAATGATTTATATTTCAAACCCTAATTCAAGTCATTTGACTCAAAATCCTTGACTCAAATAAGTGATGAAATGAGTTAAAAGTTTCGTACAAATGATTGCAAATTACAGTAACTCTAGATTTGCTGAGAAATGAATGCAAAACTTTTTATCGCTTTTTCTAAGTGTTATGCAATAGTGCTATCAAAACATATGTTATAGTAATATGCGATTCACGAGTAAATAATTAGTACTCTATTTAGTCATTTGTAAAAAGCAGTACTTTGTTCACTTGTACGCAAACAATGAACAAAGTATTATAAGTTTCGATAATCTTATGAATTCAATGTATTTATAAGTGAATGTATGTATTGTTTGTGCAATACTTGTGGCAATAACCGTAACATTCACTGCAAATGTGATTCACTTTTCAAAGTATTTCTAATAAACGACGAATCGATTGCTGCTGAATATCGATGACCACATCCAACACTTACCAGCAATCAGACAATACTCCCATTTCATGGTTACTATGACAACACACTTCACGTGCACTACCAATACGACGAACTATAGGTTGAATTAAAGGCAATACGTCCACACGTGAGGGAATTTGATGCGTTAGTGAGACTCAGTGTAGCGACTATTGGTGTGAATATCGATAATAAACGTGTTGTCAATAAAATGTGAAACAAATTCACGTTTCGTTCGAATTGAGAATTAGTACGCATTTGACACTCAGTTCGATATGAAGTGACGATTGGATCGGATTGTCGACCAATGAGTGCTCGCAGTGACAGACACTGACATCACTCACACGATTGCATCACATCTGTGGTCAGTCCCACCACTGCTGACACTCACGAGTCGTTGAAGACATCTGTTGGGCAGCCATTGGCGCCGTACGAGTGGTCACAGGAATGGACTTAAGACTGATCTCGAACTACAGCCTAAGAAGTGATGCCTCTCTGCAGAAAGAGGTGAGACTATGCCTACCATTGCATGTCATGTGAGACACGTGTCTAACGTATGCCTTCACATCACTCGCGCAGACCATTGAGTACTTCGAGCGCCTGAAGAGCGATGAGTTGGGATGGAAGCTATGCGTGGAGTGTCTGGTGTCGCGTCACGTGACCGACGAATCGGCCGTTTTCTTCTGTCTTCAGGTCATCGAACACTACATCAAAACCAGGTCTTCATTCACGCCATTCATGTCATGTCACGTGTCTTAACCCCTGTGTCTGTGAGGACAGGTATGCGAGCGATGGAGAGGACATGAGAGCCATATTGAGGCGCTTTCTGTTCGAGTGGTTCCAGTGGTCGCACGTGTCGTCCGCTTACATCCACAACAAGTTCGCATATGTCGTGAATTCGGTGTTTCTGTTGGACTTCCCGCTCCAGAAGTGGAACACATTCTTCACCGATATATTAGGCGTTTGTCAGAACCAACAGAATTGTGATCTTTTCCTCAGAATTCTGCTGCAAATCAATGGAGACGTCGCCGACAGAGAGATCCCCAGAAGTGCTAAGGTTTGGGCCATTGATTGTGCGTTCACTCGTGAGTACATTGTCTGACAAACCATTTGTTGTTTATTAAGGAAATGGAAAGAAATACTATTATTAAAGACCTCATGAGAGAGACATGTGTTCAAGAATTGGCTGATTTCTGGCTCAACGTTATTGTGAGTTATTGTCGCTATTGTTGACAATTAGAGCTAATTTTGTTGCCTTTTGTTCGCCCATTCGGCAGAACACATACCGCGAGTCAAGTCCAACGACTGTTTGTTTGTGTTTAGAAGTGATCGGCGCTTATGTGGCGTGGATTGACATCAATCTGATTACCAACGACTCAATAATGACTAATTTATTTAATTTATTCCCAATCGACACATTCCGGTGCTCTGTCACCGACTGTTTCAACGGTATTCTACACAAAGGAATGGACTCTTTAGCCAAAACCCAACTCATCGAGCAGTTCATGAATGTCGAGTCAATTAAACACAAATTGTCGCTCATTTGTGACTCAATGAAAGCCAACGAAAGCCAAGACAACGACTTATTTGTCGTCAAGTTCTCTAAACTAATGAACACAATCGGCATTGAATTGATCGAAGCGTTCAAGAAGTTTAAGACTAAAAACGATGCAAACAATCCTCAGCTCAATAAGAGTTGGCACTCAGAGGCCATCACTTTCATATCCAACGCCATTGAGTCGAAGTTCACGATTTTGTGCCAATTCTTGTCCCATAAGAGCAATACAGTGTCCCTTCAAATACATCCCTTCACCAGAGAATACATACAATGGGCTAAAAACACATTAACCAAAAAAGACGACAATAGCTCTGCAGTGGACAAGACGTTGGAGGAGAAGCTGTTGATATTCCTGCGTATAATCATCGAGAAGTGCAAATACCCGATGGATCACGACTTCAGTCTCGAAGAGGAGACCACTTTCGAGGAGTTCCGCAAATCGTGTAAAGTATTGTTCGATAACCTAATGCTTCTCAACTCAACGGTTGTGATAAACTTCATATGCACTCAACTCATCGAACCATTGCTCATGAATTGGCGGATGTCTGGCAGCGCCTATACGTTCGCCGACATCGAGATATGTCTCCACTATTTCTATCTAATCGGAGAAAACCTGAGTTTCCTGAACGACACGAAACGGATTGAACTGTTGCTGCAACTGTTGATCACGTCGTCGATCTCTACTTACGCCCACTCCTACACGCAATCCATATATTTTGATTTGATCCTCAGGTACGAGAAGTTCTTCGGCAATAATCTGAATTATTTGGTGCCACAGATACTCATCTCATTCCTCGACGAGAGAGGCTTTAAGAACAATAGCCCGAAGATGAGGAGCAAAGTGGCGCTTATGTTCAATAAGTTCGTCAAATCTCAGATCAAATCCAAATCCAGTGACAAACAGCAGAACTTCACCGAAGATATTCTCAAACGCCTGCAAGACTTCCTCAAACTGGATATCATTCCCAATGAATCGGACGACACGACCAACGGATTCGTCACGAAAACGACGAAAGCTTTAAATATTTTCGACGAAATTCGGTATTCGATCACAACTGAGGATCAGTTGAATGTTTACGAAACGGTTGCCATTTTGATAATTTCCAACCAAAACTTCGACATCAATCGCAAACAATTCCTAATGAAGACTCTCTTAATGAATCCAATTTGGGATAAATTTGAAGAAATCTGTGCAAAGCTTTTGAATGAAATGAACGCTCAAAATGGGAAACTCGTCACTGAGTCGAACCAATTAGTTGTCAAACAATACTGCAATCAAATCTCACATCTCATATCATTAGCCGCCCGAACCTCGAAAGCCTTTTCCAACATCCATACCATCAAATCTATTGGACTACAAGACCTTTATTTACAATCATTCAATCACTTCGTCAAAGCATTGAGTTTAGGACTCAATGAAGACATGCTTTTCATAATACAGTCGTCGACGCGTCAGTTCCTTCACCGGTGTATCGTATGTCTCGATGAGAGCGATATCGTACCACTCCTTCCCTCTGCCATTCAAAGCCTTTTCCTACTCTCACAAGAGCTCAACTCCAAGACATTGCAAGAGTTGATTCCACTGCTCAACCAAGTGGTCACTAAATTCAAACACTCGTGGCTTTTCCAAAGAGATTTGACGCCATTCTTCAAACAGATGTTCTCTCCTTTGATTCTCTCATTCTTTTCAGTCATCTCTCAGACCCTCAACACTGAGGAGAAGCTATCGATTCAAAAGTCTTATTACACTTTCCTATCGATTCTCGTCACCAATAATATTATGGATCCCTTCCTTGTTATCGGTATTGCAGTCTCACTGCCATTATCTCATGAGTTTATACTCAACTTTGATTGTCATTACAGAAGTGCCACTAATGGAACAGATATTGATTACGGTATTCCAGGGGTCAGTCGACTTTCCCGATGCTGTCACGCAAAGAATTTGTTTCCAAATATTACGCAAATTTGTAGAGTTTTTCGGTAAGAGTTTCAATGCATTGAATTGGTGTGAAATGACAGGCCATTGTGTTTTGACAGGAAACTCGAGCCAATTGGCAGCCAATGAGAGCGAAGGAAAGGGAGCCGAGAAGGAGGTGAAGAGTATTGGTTCGCATGAGTTCGTCCAATTCATATACAAGTCTATAATCCCCGCCTGTTTTGTGGCCCCCATTCGTCACAACGAAGACTCGCAATTAGTCAATGAGTGTATTATATGTCTTAAGACAATTCAGTCAACGCGAGGCACTCAAGAGTTGTCGACATACCTGTCCTCTCAGTTCTTTCCCCAACATTTCCCCAATTACTGCAATTCTGCGCAATTGATTCAGACATTGATTGACAACGACTTGAAAGCAACTAAACGGGCGCTTAAAATATTTTGTCAACAATTCAAACAAAACGAAATCACATGAAACGAAATATATGTCTATTTTTATATCAATTCTACTCTAATTTATATGAAATTGACTTTAATATGAATTTATATAAATATGTTATTAAATTATAAATACAAAATACATTATATTTATGTTATATTTAAGCTATTATTTGTCCGAGACAATTATTTGTTTTTTCCTAATACTAGCCAAATGTTAACCATTTGCTAACTTTTGTCGTTTTGTTTTGTTTTCAATTTTTGTTGTTTTGATGCTTTTGTAGAAATTAATTAAATAAATGATCGTTTTTGAGGCATTTCACAGCTATCTTACAGAATATGGTGTCTCTATTGGCACCACCATCAGGGACACTGCCTACTCCAGACTTACTCGGTTCAGTCAATTTACTTTTGTGTACATGTATTGAATGTGACGTAATGTTAGATACAGTACAGTAGCAAAGGGAGCGCCCATTCATTCATTCATTCATTACTGCAATAATTGTGATATAATATCATTGCAACTGATAAACACACTTTGTTTCCCATTTCACTGTACTGTACACTACAGGCGCTTGTTTATGAGTTACAGCTATATTTGCATTTAACTGTAATTTGACTCATTTGTTATCAATGAATTACAAATTAAATATTTAATTATTATAAGTCTTATCGGGCAGTGTATGCGTTGATCCAATGATCCGTAACGCTATATATGAATGGTATGCGTGAGAACTCAATGCAGATGTGGATCAACTGGATTCATATTTTCCTATTCCCCCTCAAATTCTCTCCCAACAAAATTCATCAGTATCATTATACAGTAATATAAGACTTTTATTTTATATACTGTGTAATATAGTTTATAAAATCACAATTATTTATACTGTATAATGTGTCATTCAATTCCAATCTATGATAAGTCCAATTGCATTTACTATGCTAAATTTATGATTCATAACCTATAAACTCTAGGTCAGCAAGTTCCTTTAAACAGCGATTGTCATATTTCATACATTTTTAAAACTAGATAACAAAATTATGTATAAATTAGGTTCAATTTAAACCTATAATAAAACTGGTATTTACAAAAATGTATTAACAATTAAATTATTTACATAATTATGTTAATGGTATTTTTATTGATCAATGTTTTACCTATACTGTACTGGACTTATTATAAATTGGAATAGAGTGACACATAAATTATAGTAAATTCTATCATACATTTAAGTTTTTATATGATGCACATTTAAAATGAATATTTTATTATTTCATGGTACTCTATTAGACAATTTTAACGAAAATTATGTTGGTGTGACATGTTTTTTGAGATACATTCANACTGAAATGGGAAACAAAGTGTGTTTATCAGTTGCAATATTATATCACAATTATTGCAGTAATGAATGAATGAATGAATGGGCGCTCCCTTTGCTACTGTACTGTATCTAACATTACGTCACATTCAATACATGTACACAAAAGTAAATTGACTGAACCGAGTAAGTCTTGAGTAGGCAGTGTCCCTGATGTCCCTGATGGTGGTGCCAATAGAGACACCATATTCTGTAAGAGAGCTGTGAAATGCCTCAAAAACGATCATTTATTTAATTAATTTCTACAAAAAGCATCAAAACAACAAAAATTGAAAACAAAACAAAACGACAAAAGTTAGCAAATGGTTAACATTTGGCTAGTATTAGAAAAAAACAAATAATTGTCTCGGACAAATAATAGCTTAAATATAACATAAATATAATGTATTTTGTATTTATAATTTAATAACATATTTATATAAATTCATATTAAAGTCAATTTCATATAAATTAGAGTAGAATTGATATAAAAATAGACATATATTTCGTTTCATGTGATTTCGTTTTGTTTGAATTGTTGACAAAATATTTTAAGCGCCCGTTTAGTTGCTTTCAAGTCGTTGTCAATCAATGTCTGAATCAATTGCGCAGAATTGCAGTAATTGGGGAAATGTTGGGGAAAGAACTGAGAGGACAGGTATGTCGACAACTCTTGAGTGCCTCGCGTTGACTGAATTGTCTTAAGACATATAATACACTCATTGACTAATTGCGAGTCTTCGTTGTGACGAATGGGGGCCACAAAACAGGCGGGGATTATAGACTTGTATATGAATTGGACGAACTCATGACTCCCAATACTCTTCACCTCCTTCTCGGCTCCCTTTCCTTCGCTCTCATTGGCTGCCAATTGGCTCGAGTTTCCTGTCAAAACACAATCGCCTGTCATTTCACACCAATTCAATGCATGCAAACTCTTACCGAAAAACTCTACAAATTTGCGTAATATTTGGAAACAAATTCTTTGTGTGACAGCATCGGGAAAGTCGACTGACCCCTGGAATACCGTAATCAATATCTGTTCCATTAGTGGCACTTCTGTAATGACAATCAAAGTTGAGTACAAACTCATGAGGTAATGGCAGTGAGACTGCAATACCGATAACAAGGAAGGGATCCATAATATTATTGGTGACGAGAATCGATAGGAAAGTGTAATAAGACTTTTGAATCGATAGCTTCTCCTCAGTGTTGAGGGTCTGA